GGCCATTATGCATAATTTTTTTCTCATCTCATCACAATTTTTTTTTTCATTTTCCATTTTTAAAAACTGTAACACTAAAAAAATAATATATACATTATAAATAATATATAATTTTTTTTATTTTATATAAATTAAAATTGTAATGAATTTATTATTAATTCATTAAAATTAGATACTAATCATACATAAATACCCTTGAAAATATTAGATTTCCAACTGTTTCCAACTTTCTAGAATTGAAATGTCATTTATTGGAGCAGCGTTTATTAAAAGTCTAGGCTTAAATCACACTATAATAAGTCGAGTGTTTAAGCAACAGTCTGTTCCTGTCTCCAGGCAGTGGTTAAGTTGTCTTTCCGCATTCAAATGATGTAGCTCATTGATTTCATTGTGCTGGGAAGGATGAAGTGCTTGGAAGAATGACTTGACAACGGACAAAAACACATTTATGCCCATATATAGAATGGCAACATTCCAGCAGGGACCTGATATAGACCGTCTCAGCACTGGATTCACTCCCACTGAAAACCCAAGAAGCACTCGATTCAGGAGTGAAGGTGCTGCCAAAACCATCAGCTGGGGGGATTCTGAAACCTGAGGTCACAACCTGCCCATTTACACTGATCAAACGGCTGCGGTCGCGATTTGCTGTCAGAATCATGTTGTAACGTATTTTATGCTTGCTTTGATCTTTTGAGAACACATTTGCAGAGCGCTGCCAAACGGAACAAAGAAATCCCAGAAGTCAACTTGATTCCAATAAGAGAACAAACAAACCCTAAAACTGCAGTTCTCTAAGAGGAATGACTTTGGATATGGTTTAGCAAATGGCAACAGCATAATTTGACTTTGTACATTCACGGGCAAACCACAAGGAACAAGGCGAGACTTCCTGGAAGGCCAGGCCGCCGCCTCTCTCTCCACTCCTTTTCTCTGCTGCTGAGCCAGCAAACAGGGATTCCCCCGCTTCAGGATGACAGAGTGGCATCGGATTGATGAATGTTATTAATATTTCACTTTTCCGGAAATGTGTTTGCTTAAACGGAACGCCAAAGCAAATAATGCTGACTTTTCCATTTGTTAGCAAAGAAAAGATGTTGAGAAATAACTAATAAATGAGAAACATTTAAGCAGATTTCTTTCCTTTTAACAGATTTATGATAAAGGTGAATATAAATGTACATAAAAAAAATGAACAAAAAATAAATTAATTCTGCCCACTACCAAGCGACCTCACATGAACTCACTGACCTCGACCGAATGAGACTATCTTTTGTTCCTGAGCGAGACGGTGGATATTTGCCAGACTAAATTGAGCCGTTTTACATGATCACGAGGTAAAATGCCTGCAAATAAGCACAGTGAGAGTTTAACCCTCAAGGTTTGAGGCTCATTTTCCAATCGTCCCATTGAAATCCATCATTGTTCTGAGGTTTCTTAGATCTTTCATTGTACTTGTGTAAGTCTGCAACAACTAATCGACAAATTTTGTCATGGTTAAGTCGAGTCTTTGCACTATGCACATAAAACCTTCACCAGTGTCACACCATGTAAGATAAAATTTCCATAAAGACAAACGTTTACTCATATCCTCATAATGCAACTATTTGCATTATGTAAAACAGTGCGACAGCAGCAAGTGACCGATTAAATGCTGCTTTTGTTGTTAAATACTTCATGGTCAATAATTCTTATCAAAACAATATCAGTTGTTATTACTTGAAACCAGTTTTGGGAAGGTTACTTTGGAAATATAATAGGTTACAGAATACAAGTTACCCTATTTAAAATGTATTAAGTAACTATTTCAATTACTTCATTAAAATAATGTAACTGATTACATTTGAATACCTTTCTAAACTTCTAATGAATTTTTTCAACTGTTAATCATTTTCAAAAATGTAAACCAGGCAGCGTTAATCTTACAGTAGTACTCAACACTGATTACTTTTGAATCTTTCATCACTTGAGTTAAGATTATAAGAATTTAATTTTAAACTGCAACCACCACAAAATCAGACTTTAGCATGTATTTTTACTTTGAGATCATTCTGAGGTTAAATACAGATTTAAGTTTAAGTTTAATAGTCATGATACTGGTTTTGAAATCAAATCTTTGCATAGCTATGACAGGAAACACTGGCATCTAACAATGCCTTGGAAAAAAACAGTTAATCTTAAGCATAAACATTCAACGACCAAAAGCTGGAAGTGACAAGAAAACAACTAAATATATCCTCTGTGCCGGTGATTTACTGTAGAAGAGTTTTGTAAATCATAGCCGGGGGAAATATAGACAGACCCGGTAGAGATGAGGTGGCAGCGCTCATCTGTGGGGACCACCAGAAATGCATAATTTACTGTAAGCCTGCGCAAATGTTTCCTGTATGAAATATAAGGAAAAAGATGCACCTGCAAGACAAGCTGGTGGCCGCACTCTGGTGTAAGATGAGTAAAGCTGGTGTATGAGTGAAAAAAAACACACACAAACATCTCCTGACACTTCCGTACTGTAAAAAAGCCTCATTATTACGACAATGT